ATTGAGATAAAATGGACATACCATTATGTAACTTTAAGGTATACTCGTACAGTGCAATATGATTACCTCCATGCTGTTAGCTGATGCCTCCTTCACACGATTGCTATTTCTCTTTTATGGTGAGAATATTTCAGATCTGCTCTCAGCAGTTTTCAGGTCTAGACCACAGAGCTGTCTGTGATCGTGATGCTGTGCTTTAGATTTCTAGGACTCCTCGCCCTCTGGGGCTTTTTGTTTTAACTGCAGGAATTCTCGCAGCCTTTCATTTGTCACTACACCATGTATTCGCCAGGAGGAGGAAGGGGGGAGACTCCAGTGGTGTGCAGCCTTTCCCAGACTCCCTTGGGCTTCCTTGGCCATGGAGTCATTCTTTCCAGGGTGTCCTGGGAACTTGGCATGCCACAGGCTACCAGCCGGTGAAGGTGGTTAGGTGGCCATCATATCACAGATGAAAAACTAAAGGCCCAGATAATTTGTTACTCAAGTAACTATAGCTAGTGGGATTATAGACTGCATAACTCTTAGATCACTGTTCTGTCCATTGGCAAAAAAGGAGATTTTATGGCCCGGAAGACATAGGTTCAAATGTTAAAATGTAAATAAGATTTTTGTCTTCATCTCTTAAAATTTACTGAAGCTTAATGTCTGGTCTAAGCCTGACATCTAATTCTGACTGAAAGAGGCTGGGCTAGCTGTCAGCTGCATTGCTAAGAAATGGAATAGGGAATAGCTGTTGCAAATGAATGGAAGGAATTACCTGAATGTACTCTGTTTACTTCCCATTAAAATTAGAATAAACAGGATCTTAGTTTTCTTTTCCTTTTTTTGCAGTGAAATAGGAAATAATGGAACATCGTTTCTTGTGTAATCAAATTAGCCTCTAAAAATTGTAGGTTTAACAGGAACTGGTATAAAGGACACGTGGACAACAACTAAGGGGGGTGGAAATGGGAGGGAGGTGGGGAGCACTGGGGGGGTGGGCTGGGATGGGAGTAAAAAACAGAAAACTGTACTTGAACAGTAATTAAATAAATTCAAAAAATTATAAGTTTATGGGAGACACATCCTTAACATAAGACTTAGTTTTCACATTGCCTCAAAAACAGTTAATTTAAAATAGGATATATATGGACTGGAAATTCTGGGGGGATGGGAAGGTGGTCTAAAACACTGTATAACTAAGCAAAATTTAGACTCTTCAAGGTATGATTTATTTACTTTTTTAAAAGATTTTATTGATTTATTTTTAGAGAGAGAGGGGAAGGGAGGAAGAAAGAGGAGGGAAATATCAGTGTGGGTTGCCTCTTGTATGCCCCCTAGTGGGGGCCTGGCCCACAGCCCAGGTATGTGCCCTGACTGGGAATCAAACTGGTGACCCTTTGGTTTGCAGCCCGAGCTCAATCCACTGAGCCACACCAGCCAGGGCTCAAGGTATGATTTAGATTGATAATTACAAAATTTTAAACAAAGATTTTATTGAATTATAGCCTAAAATAGTCAGCTTTGTCCCTGTCTGTAAGATAGCAAGTCCCACATGCTGGGGTGAAAAGCTGAGGGAGTGGGACCCGCGGTGTTCTCCTAACGCGAGGACATTCTGGGGGACCCGGGGGAGCCCGACAGTCCTCAGATTCCGCTTTGACAGGTGGGTGCGCCTCACTTATGTTCCTTGGTTTAGGGAGGAAAATGTGGCTTTTTTTTAAAGTGTTTTTCTTTAAAGGAATTTAAAATGGGTTCTTATTAAATCAAAAAGGCATTTCAGAAACATAATTATGTGTTTGAGTATTTTATATTATAAAGATAAATGGCTGATCATAGTTTTACTGGAATATTTTGACAAAACTAGCCGTGTGTTCTTCTTTACTTTTTATTCTTTACCGCACCCCAAGTAAATGGCATGGTTAATAACAAGTTTTAGGGGAAAAAAGGAAAGAATTTAGTAATCATAAATTTTGTGTGCTTGGAAAACTGTGTAGAAAATTTTGTTAAGCTTGTTTGAAGGCTTCTCTGGAAGCGGTGAGGACAGGTTACGAAACAGGCTGCCAGGGAGCAGCGGGTGAAGGGACTGGGCTGGGGCGCCAGAGGGTTTTGGGGAAGCAGGGCAGCGCAGGCGCGGAGCAGGAGCCGGTCTCCTGGGTTCCTTCCTCCCGTTACAGACTGGAAGGATTTTGAAAAGGTGCTGACGTCTTTTATGCCTGGATTCTAAATACAGAGCATAATCTTTATGTTGTTTTAACACATTCAAGAGTAGACAGAATACTTGACAATTAGAATTTTTGTAATTTTATCAAGTGAATCAAATTAACATTATTAATACTGTTATTGACAAGAAACCTGCCTCTTTAAGACTGAAAACCCACGTGTCAGGCAGGCGGTTTGGTTCTGGACCACAGTGAATCAAGGTGCGTTTCCTGGGGGGGAGCTTCGAGGGGGGTCCCAGGGAGGTGAACGGTGAGGCTGTGCTCACCACACGCTCTTTCCGGAGTGACGGTGTGCATTCCTGTCAGTGAAATCAGTAAGATGTTTTCTAAAACAGACTTTGCTCAACATTTTGCCTGAATATAGGATAGGGTCTCTCTCTTAAATCTGTTGACAGAGTATACCCCACAGCAAGGTACTCTTTGGGCAAACACGTTAAAATGGCTGCATGAGAAGAGCGGCTGCGTTAATGTGGGCTCCTGGCTGCAACCGCGGTTTTTTTATTGTTGTTAGAACAGACTGTGTTTCAGAGAAATTTTAGATTCACAGCAAAATTGATCCATTTTTTTTTATACTGCTCAGGTGGTATTTGTTAAAATACCATGATGGTGGTATTTGTTCAAAGGCGTGTATTTCTACTGTCAGTTTCACTGTATACAAAACATATTTTGTGATTATACTTGCTTTGTTAATAATCGTTATTTTTTCAAAGTATTCCATTGGTACTGAATACACGTGCAGTTTCATTAGGAAAGAACTTAAGTAATTAACCAAAGGGAAATAGCAGTGGGTTTTCCTTATAACACTAATTGAGAAGTAGCATTTTTGGACTTTTTTCATGTCCTGTGACTAGGAGAATGAATGCGTGTCTTGTAATTTATTTTGTTTTTACTATTTTGGGGACTGAGAATGTTTATGTATTTCATGTTTTGGCAGCTTCAATCAGGATAAGAATTTGTATGTCTGTTTTGAAAAAAACTGTGACAAGAATGTTACATATGCACAGTACAGAGATGTGTGTACATTACTGGAGCTTTGGGGAGACATCGGTTTTCTTGGAGAGTATTTATATACTCTTATTGTTACTTAAAGTGACTTCCTTCCTGACTGATGCGTCAGTTCCTACTGAACTAGAACCATCCCCAAACTCTATAAAGTTTAATGCATGTAATGTAGTTAACATGCACGTGCCAGAGAAAACATAGAAACCTTACAGTGTCAGCTTTCTCCTTTCCAAATGGAAGTTTGGCCGTGCCTCATCTCTCTCCACTGTGAGAACTGGCTTGTCTTTCAGCTCTCACCTTCTCCTCTTGGGAGGAAGAGAAGGGACTGTCTTAGGTTGGGCTACTGTGAACAGAACCCCAAGATCACAAAGGTTGGACTTTCAATTTCAATAGGTTTATTCGTTTCATATCTACAATGTGAAATTTTAAAATTTTGCTATATCTTGCACTTTCAGAAAGTTCTCTTAACAGTTAATATAATCAGATTGCATATTGATATCATTAAGGAAAAATTCTTAAGAGTTTTCTGATTTTAGTATACCCTGTATCTAGAGCCTTTGTGATACTAGTTAATTCCATGGCTTTGGTGTATACTAGTAATATTTCAGGAACATCTTTACTGTAGTATTTAGGGGAGGAAGTGTCTGATACATACTTTAAGCTTGCATGCCGTGGAGAGGATTGTATAATGGACTCAGACAGTCATCGTCTGTCCTCACTAGTTAGTGTAATGGCCTCACTTGTTTTGTCTGCACACTTGCCCCATTACTTCCCTCCTGACTCCTCAGTGACTTTGAAGGAAATCCCAGACATCATGTAATTTCACTGCGAAATATTTCTGTGTGTGTCTAAAAGAAAATAAAATTATTTGTATTCCCTGTGAGTGCTAGCCAGCTTCGTTGTGAGGGGAAGCTCAACACATCCTGGAAGAGGCCTGCCATCACTTTTGGTAGTTAATTTGCATTTAAAAAGATCGAGAGTTTATACTACTTGGGCATCTTATTATTACGGTAAATCTCAAAGGGTTTGAAATGTTGATTTTGTAAATAACGTCTAAGAAAACATTGTGAATTGCCATCATGAATATGTATGAAGTTACGGGACAGTCCCGGTTCGAGCTAACCTGCAGTTTGCTTTGTCATTTGTAATGGCTCCCCACCCCCCGAATTTCTGTATCTGTGTTCCAGTGCTGCAGGACAGCAGCGCAGTTTCAGACGGAATTCTGTGAGCCTCTGTGTGTGTCAGAGAAAGAACAGGGAGGGAAGAGTAGCACATGGGGCTGAGAAAATAGAAAAGGCTCAACAGGGCGAACATCACCAGGTACTAAACTGTAGAGCAGTAACTTCCCCTTTCTTTCACTCTGGCTCACTAACCTCCTCTTTGGGTTCCTCCTCTGATTTCTTTTTGTTGGCACTTACTTAACAGGGCCCATGACATTCAGGGTCAAGTAAATGGCTGATTTTTCCCTTGGAAGAGGATGCTCTGGTATACAGGCGTTGGGAGATGAACCTTTAAGAAATGAAATGTTTTAGGACTTATTTGTTGTTTTGTTCGTTTTTATGCAGATTTTTTAAAATGCTTATTCAATTCAAATGATTAGAATACCTACTGTGGGCTAAATTGAACTTTCATATGCTTTGGATGAAATATACAGTGTATGAGACCGTTAATTTTATATTGATTTTTAGGTTTACTTTAGATGTTCTTATTGAAAAATTGTGTAATAATTTTTTCTTTTTTGTTCTCTTTTGCTGCCCATTTATTGGGTGAAACTGATTCTATTCAAACGTGATTCTGCAGTTCACAAGATTCCTTTGCAGCTCACCTTTGGAGGTAAGAGTTTACTCACAGGAATACGAGAATCACTAATTGAACATGATTAGTCATATCATGTTCAGTTTTCCTCTCTGTGAAATGGATATAATCGTTCCTGCCTCCAAGTGAAGCAGTGGACATGGGGGCAGTTTATAAAATGCTGTTCACATCTTACCAACATTTTGTATTCTCCTCCTAGGCTGTACTTCAGTCCCAACAGTATGACTCTTGCCTGCCCTTCACTTGTCCTTCATTTTGTCTCTGTTGTCCTTGTCACCTTATGTCCCCTTCCTGCATTCCCCACCTGTGGAAGTCAGACCCTCTCAGGAGGAGCCTGGGTACAGTGTCCTGCCGTCTGGCTTTGGAATGAGAGAGAGTGGGGGTCCCATGAACAAGTCATTTCATCGTTCGAGAAACTTAAAAATGGAGATGGTACAGACTTACAGGTTATTAAAATAGAACGAGATAATGTGTGGGAATCATGGAGCACAATGCCTGTTGCATGCAATTTTAAATAAACTTTAGTGTAAAAACAAAAACAGGAAGCAAATCATAAGACAATATAAATTATATATAATATACTCATTAGTTGAGTGAGGACTTTCTAAGCAAAGAAGAAAGGGAAGTATCAAAGGAAAGGATGGACACATTAGATTTGATTCTGATTCTGTAAAAAAATTTGTAATTTTCATAAAATTATGTACAGTTAAAAGGCAGTTTAGGGAAGTGATAAAAATGATAACATGATAAAAATGTTATATTTCCTATAAAACCTCTTAGGATTAATTTTAAAATGTCCTATTTGCTTCTACATAATATTTGGTTGGATTTTATCAGTTGATGAAATGAAATACAAATGGTAATAAATGTCTTAGAAGTCCTTATAAGCAATCAAAGAAATGCAGGTTAAAAGACCAGTGATATGTAGTTGTTCTTACCTGTGAAGATGGCTTTTTTTTTTTAATGAATGGGAAGATGTGATGTGTTTTTAACTCCGTTGTTTACCATAGGAATCCATTTGGTCATGCACATTAAAGACCTTATATAAATTCAGCCTTGTGGTCGAGTAATTCTAGTCTAAGAATCACTGCCAAAGAAATTATCAAAGATGGGGACGAAATTTAGCTAAATATATTTATTACAGCATTATTTATAGTGGCAAAAATTTACAAACAATGTGAGTGTCCAACAGCAGGAAAAGGTGAAATACATCCGAGTGCAGCCGGCCTCATGTCAGGACACACTGGAGCCCTTAGAATGAGGACTGGGTTGGGGGCCAGGTCCCAGTGTGGGGCGTGCGAGAGGCAACCACTTGCAGTCTCTCACATGTCCACGTTTCTCTCCCTCTCCTCCCTCCCTTCCCCTCTCTCTAAAAATAAATAAGTAAAATCTTTAACAAAGATAAAGTGAGGACTGTACCTAAATGTGCGTGAGTACATACTGATGAGCAATAACAGTGTAAACTACTTGCTCTATCAACATAAAAATGGGATGCAAAACTGTACATGCAGATCCAAATTTAAAAACAATTTAAGCACATAGAAATTAGGAAGGAGAAGCACAAAGTGTTAATATCAACTGCAGAATGTTGTATTGTTTTATCCTTTGCTTCTCCGTGAAGGAGCCGCTCTGTGGGGAAGAGGAACCCAGGCAGGTTTTCGAAGGCGGCTGTTGGAGTCCATGTGTGACTGCCGGGTAATCACGGGCGTTTCTGTTTGGTGTGGAAACAACTGATGTTGGGTCCAGTCTTGGAAACAAAGAGACTGGCAGGAGCTTAGGCTGGAGACGTCGTGTTCAAGGCTGGACTCTCATGACAGCAAGAACTTAGAGGAGTAACTCAGAATGAGGGCTGCGAACAGAAGACAGGCTGAGTTGACTCACCCCAGACGGAGTAAATAGGGTGCTGGGGCTTGATGTCCACATCAGCAGGGCAGGGAGCAGTTTGAAGATGCCATTAAACAGACTTAACTAACAGGCTTCTGTCAAATGTAAGGCCAGTGAGCAGACCTGTTTTTCCTGCTTCCTTGCTTCACTCTTAGTGTAGTGCGTAGGAGGCCCCGAGTAAGTAACGGTCGAATGAACGAACGAACAAAGGACTAAGCTGGGGGGGCCTGAGGCTGAGCGTAGCAGGCTTTTACCCATCTTTTGGCAGCTGAAAACACAAAAGGCCTAATATTTATGTTTAATATGGTTAATACTCTGTCTTCCCAGCCAGATTGTAGCTACTTAACACCTTTGTGTTCCTCATCTTTGGGTTCTCTCAGGTAGAGAAAGCTTGGAGTGCATCACCTGTGTACTTGCAGAGTTTTATCATACAAATGCATGTTTTTAAATTACATCTGGCCACTCTGGTTAAATCCTGGGACTTTACGTGCACAAGCTTTCATCTTTGGTGAAAACAGAAGGGAGAGCATCATGCTGGAAGCTTGGTGATGGTTTCTGTCATTTTCTGCCTGATCCACTCTTTCCACTTAATGATTTGGAGTTGCATTTACTTTTCCTGGCTAAATTGATTTGTTTCTTATGGGACTTAACAGACATGGGCAGAGGGGAAAAAGTAAAAATTAAAGGTGACCACTTTGCTTTGCTTTTCTTGAAGTATTTGGGAAATACTTGAGGGCTTTCTGTTGATATTTTTCCAGCCCGGAGTTTCCCAGGAGCCGCCTGATGACATAGTCACTGGCTGCCACCCCCAAGGCTCCAGCAGCACGAACTCAGGACTCTGCTCCTTGGCCCCTGCAGAGCCAAAGCGAAGCTAAGGCAGGAGAGGGGCGGGAGTCCCTAAACGTTTAATTTCGCCACCAAACTTATGTTTTAGATGGAGAAGAAAAGTAACAAATATGGCAAATACCCAAACACCTTTGCTAATTTTGAACAAAAAAATGTAATTCTGGTAGAGACAATAGAGTACATGGGACTTGAGTTGAAAATGAAGGAGACTTTAAATTTCACTTTGTCCACACAAGCTACTATGAATGAACCGTGTCCCTTTGTTGTAAGTCCTAAACAGTTAACTGCCACATGAATCTAACGAAATTGTCAAGTTATAGTAATTACATCAGTAATGTGATCCGCTGTCGTTTGAATGGGGCCATGTGTGGAGAGTCAGTTACTTCCCTCTGTGGGGTTGACCCTTTACATTCCTGGGAGCCGAAGACTAATAGAGCTCATTAAGCTTTATGGGAAAAGAGCTTTTATCACCTCGTCAAGTCGGGCGGCATATTCCTAATTGTGTGCGGCGCTGTGGCTGCCGATGTGCACTCCCCGCTAGGTTTACTTTGGAGCCCTCCCTTACAGACGCTTTTATTGACGTTTCTAGGTCTGAATCACATTTTGTGTGGCACCACCTCCACATGTCTTCAATTAAATGTAGGTAAATAAAAGGGATTATATATCAGAGGCTGAAAGATTCTTGAAATTCTCTCCTGAGTCAGACTGCCAGCCAGTCCAGTAGGGCGCAGTCTCGTCTTCATGCTGGAGGTAGACGGCTACAAGGGGAGGCGTTTGTAAGAGAAGTTGAGCCGTGTGTGGCTGTAGGTTACTTAGATTTCGCTTCAGAAATGTCCTCTCTTCCTTCGTTTCAGATCAGTTAAAGTCTTCTTAATTTACAGGTGTTACAACTCATTGAGAAGTTACCGACTGAACTGCATGGGTACTATGCTAAGCTCTTTGCTTACCTTGTTTTAATTCTCACAAAATGTCTGTGAGATAGATAGTCCCAATTTTCTTAAGAAGAAAATTGGGCCTAGAGAGGCAGGTTAGTTAAGCTCAGTGTCACAGCTAGTCACATGAGACAGCAGGAGCAAGGTAGGAAGGAATAAATGGACTGATTCTTAGGTTACGTGAAGTGATACAGTATTAACCAAATGCATTTGAGATGTGTTTGTAAACGTTAGAGCAAGGTTTCTCAGCCTGGACACTTTTGACACAGGTCTGTTAACTCTTCGTGGGTGCTCCTCTGTGCATTGTGTGCAATGCTCAGTGACATTTCTGTCTTCTGCTCCATGGACCCCGGTGGCATCCTCCCTCTGAGGTGAAACAAAATAGCTCCAGACTTGCCAAAAGTCCGAAGGGGGGGAAGTTGGATCCCTGTTGAAAACCACCCTGGAGCAGCCCCCCAAAACCCCAAACAGAGATGTAGCAATAAGCCAATAGTGAAGATAATAGCAACAGTGACACAGTTTCAGTCTCTTAAAAGGCAGGAAGAGAAGGAAAGGCGAACAGAGAGTAAGTGAGACAAATAGAAAGCAAGTAGCAAGGTGGGTCAGTCCAACTGCACTGATTATCACATTAAGTGTAAATGGCCGAAACGGAAGCTCTGCTCTGGGGAAGTGGTCTGTGTCTGCGGTACCGAAAACATGTGTGGAGTGGAAAAATAATTTAAAAAATAAATAAACTAATTTAAAAAATCGTGTGTGGAGCTAGTGATCATACGAGCTCGTTAGGAACTGAGTTTTAAATTTTTCTTAAATTTTACTTAACTTACGTAGCATATGTGGCCAGTAGCTAACCTGTTGAACAATACAGGTCTAAAAACTCCAGTTACAAATCAGAGGTTGTCAGACTAGATGGAAGGGAAAAAGCAAAATCCACCTTAACTGTGAGGACAGGGCTAGTTTAAAAGTAAAAGGCTGATGTTACCCCAATAAACAGTTTTAAAAAGTAGGGTGGTGGGTGCTAGGGCGGGGGGTGGGGTGGGGCACATTGTTCCCTGAAGACGGGGCTTCCCTGAGGGATGACAAAGACGTTCTGTGAGGGGCGGTGGTGAGGCCACTCACCAGCGTGAACCTGCACAATGCCACCGACTGACTACCCTCAGAAGTGGCTAAAGCGGTCAGTTTTACGTTATGTACTTTACCACAGCTAAAAATGTTCGTAAGTGTCAGAATTGTAACTTAGTTCAATGGAACAGAGGTATACATTATTCAAAATCATAAACATTATGTAGGAATATTGTTAACTTTAAATGAGTAAGCCAGTGAGTAGTGTTGGCAGTTTATTCATTAGAAAACAGGTCA